TGTGTGTGTGTGTGTGTGTGTGTGTGTGTGTGCGTGTGCAGCCCTGTGTGGGCAGGTGTGTAAGCTGTACCGGTTCCAGACGGAGGACGGCCGCTGGCTGCTGGTTCTGGAGCAGATGTCCGAGACGCCGCTGTGCTTCTCGCTGCCCAAACAGCTACTGAGCGCGCTCAGTGTGGAGCACACCAACAGGTGCGTCCACCTAACGCCCCCCCGCCCCGCACAGGGACCAAACACCGTCTAAAACGCATGCCTGGTTCATGATTCAGAGAAAGTTCCTTAACTACTGCTTATCTCATATTTCTATCTATCTATTAAGTAAAGTAGAGCCTCTATTACGAGGCCCAAACATACAAATTCTCCAACATGCAAAGTGAAATTGGATCAATTATTAGACTTGAAACCCGAAGTAAATTTCCAACATGACGTATGATATTTTAAAGTGTTGATATTTTTAAATTGTTTTATACAAATAAATTTTTGTTGTTTTTTTTGTTTTTATCATATAGATGTTTGAAATTTTAATTTTTTAGTGAAGTATAATACTGTTTTTGTTGTGAAAATGAAAAAAATAAATAAATAAAAAATGATGTCGGAGTCATAGAAAAAAATATCTATTAATGAAATAACAGTAAAGTCAGAGTGAGTTAGGGTTGGTCCTGTATTTCAGTCTCCACCTCTACCTCCGTTCACCAACAAGTACCAATAAAAAAACATTTTTTATTGATTATTTCTTTATCATTTATTTCTTTTTCCATCTCTCTTCTATAATTCATTTGTTTTCTTGATATGTGTAATTATCTGCAGTATTTACTAAGGAGTTATCGTAGGTTTTTGGAACCAATTCTAGGAATTACAGAGTATTCTGATGGGAATATTTGAACCAACATACCAATATTTTCATTTTTTTTTTTTTCTGTGTATCATTTATTTGCTCATCAGGAGATTATACATATATTGATGTTACATACATTGTACAAAGCTTACATGACTTCTCAGATTTTTTGTTTTCTCAACATACCAATATTTTAACATAGAACCGGTTAGACTCTGTGGGGGTTCTGCTGTACCTTATTCCTACAGGAACCGGCTGGTATTCCCTTTTTGGTGGAGGCTTTGTTTGATTCTAAAGCTGTTTGCATCCCTGTGGTCCTCCCCCTGCAGAAGCTTTTCTCCGGTGTGGAAACTGCTCAGGTTTCTGTACTCGGCTGTGGGCCGGTTTGAGGTTCTCCTGCTCTCGTTCTGCCTCAGGATCCTGGATCTGAACGAGCTGGGCGAGCTCCCCCCCCACTGGGCCGGACTTCGCCAGGACGTGGTCCAGCACTGTAACCAGCTCATCGCCCTCTACCAGGAAACCCTGACGGAGATCGACAAACTCTCAGGTGGAGCATCGAACAGGATTTAGAGTTAACTGTTAGAGTTAACTGTCTATTTTCAGAACAGAGAGTCCCATACTGACAGAGTTTTTTGAGCATTTTGACTGATTTTTCAAGAGCCACAGAATAGTTTGTGCTATGACTATGTAAACACCGAACACACCAAAAGAAAGAGTAGACTCTCTTCTTTCATCAGGAAAAAAAAATGTGTTTCTACCTTATTCCGTTCTTCCTGGACTTGCGTCTCACCGGCGACATGTTCTCTCATAGAACCGTTACCTTTTTCTTATTTGCCTACAGTCTATGCTCATCTCCCATCAAAAGTGGCACTGCCCCCTAGAGGGTCAATTTGGTACAACATACTCTGTCTAGAAGCCGATATTTACGGACAAGCTTTAGCAGATCGTCCCCCAGACACTCTCGT